GTATATAATAAACACAGTTGTTTCATGCTGACAATACTCGAGTCCAGAGAGTTAATGGTCGACAGCTACTAAAACGCAAAATTGTGCATTGATGGTTGGGTATTTACATATTTTTATCATTGATCCTGTGCTTTTTCAAATTGATGCATTTACTGATAACATAGGAAAGCATGTGCTTATGCTTCTTTGTAATACTTAATTTTTTTTATTAAAAATCATACTTTCATTTTAAGGTGATGGTTTCTTTCCTACGACAAGCTTCGGAGATGATTGTTTGCGACGTCAAGCTCTTGATATATCTTCTTATGTTTAATTTGATAATGGACTAAATTGTTTTAGGATATGTGCAATTGCCACACGTAAACCTTAAAATAAAGCGACTTAATGATGAAAAAATAGAGATACACAGAATCCTTAAAGATAGCTTAACACCACAAATTTGAAAATGTTGAAGAATACTTCTTATGCCGGTGCTAAGGGCGTAAGCGGTATCAGTTTTTTTAGCATTTAGGCTAAACATAAACAGGCTCAATCATACCGAGCCTGTAACATTTCAGTTTTGTTGTATTGGACGTTCTTTAGCGATTCCGTTTATTTTATTTTAAATAGAATATGAAAAAAACAAGATCAACAAGGAAGGGAAGCTTTCAATTAACACAACACAGGAACACTGGCAAGGAGCCCAGCAGGACACGAAATAGGACGGTGTATAAAAATGAGTTTAGAATCAATTGTTTCATACGACATGTTTTATGTCCTATAAATTGCACTGTTGCAATATTTTATCTGAAACAAAAATTTTCAGATCTTTTGAAAACAAACTTTTAACTAAATTTTTTTAGCATATACTTTTCCATTTTGTAGCATTTGTAACATTTAAATTTTCCTTCACATATATTAACTGTCGAAACAATTGTCCCCGTATAATGATGATTGACTTCTGATTTAAAAATCATGTGTCGAAATTTGTGAAAGTTTACACATATAGAAGGGGTGCTTTGTGTTGTGTGAAAGCTTTAAAAATTGTCAGTATAACACAATAATGTAATATTGTATGTCCAAAAATACCTTGACCCACGATCGCGAGGATTAAATTTCGTGTGTCTCATATTAGTTGCGTTCCCATTATCAGATATTTTATACACACATGCACGCGCACACGTACACACAAAAACAAAATACAGACATTATCAAGTACGTGTAGGTGTCCTGTTTTAGGAATCTGAAACGAACATAACATTTACATTATTATATGATTAAGACCCTCCCTTGTAATTAAGATGCATCATATATCATGTAGTTACCTTCTATTTATCTTTAACAGTCTAGTACGAAACGGAGTCATATCAGTACAAAGACGTAATTATATTGATTACTAAGTGACATCGGCTTCACTGAGGCTATAATTAAGTATTTATGTTTCATACAGTACTTTCATTAAACAGAACTTAAATACTATCCCACAATATGTCTTTATCTTTAACATATGATTATGGTCAATATCTTAAAATATTAGGTACATCTGAATAACGTTTTCAAACATTATCATTCACGGCCCCTTGTATGTATATGAGAACACATAAATCACGATAAATGTGATGTTTGCCATTTAATTACCATCATGGTATTCTGATGTTTAAAATTTATCTAAAATAAGATTCATCACGGAATTATTTGTATGTACGAGCTAAATCGTTTTGTTAAATCATGCTCCATTTCAGCTCAGTGCACAATGTTTTGTTCTGTCAAATGATCATTCCATTGTTTATGGTTGTCTAATGTAATTTTGTTCAAATTTTCGTATTTCTCCTTCTTGAATCATTTACCATTCGATGATAATCGTCGTTGATACATTAATCTGATTTAAAATATTTTGTCATCTTTCCGCATCTTTTGCCAACAAAACCGTCGTCGAAATGTTAAGCCACTCTTGTTGTTTTGGGTTTTTTAATTACACTATGTATAAATTCTGTCTTCACCTGTAGTGTGTAGAGTTTAATACTCTATGTGTACTCTAAACATATTAATTTTACAATTACAAATGGACTGTGTAGCAATAATCAATATTTTCATATATCACATTGGAACAAAGGCATTATTTTAAATCGCTAGAAAATTCTGTTTCTGTGGTTGTAAATGTGCAGTTAAGAAAATGTTTCGTTACAGAGTATTCCGAAGAACATGATAACGTCAGGGTGTAAGAATATTTGTTACGTGCTAGATTTTTTATTTTTCAAAAGTTGATCATTTTCAATATAGCAAATTATTTGCAAGCATAACATTTTGAACGGAACTGAACGAAATATCGCAGATTCTTTTTATAAAAAATGGACAAAAAGTAGGCTTGACGAATCTTTCTAAAAGAACATCTAGAAACATTAAAAAATATATTCGTTCAAAAAGTACATGTTATCATTTACTTACATACCTTTTTACCATTTTGATAGATTGATTTACTATTTTATCATAATTTGATGGTAACGAATAATGTTGAAATAAAACACTCAGTCGAAAGTACATATGTACCATGTTATTTTTGTAATTATATTACTGTGCTCAGGCAAAAAAAAGGAAAACTGTAAAGAATACTGAATTGCTGTCGGCTTTCACAACATCCATTTAAGACACGTTGTCGCTTTATTATGCAGGGTATATATGCATATCAAAGGTTTCCTTCGCAAGCCAACAGCAGTTTTGTATTACAATTTATTGGAGAGAGAAAACAAATTATGAAATGTTTCAATATAACTTTCATCTAGATGATATGTCAAACCTTGGTATGATTGTTCTTTACATATACATATTGTTGTCTTACTTTTAAATAAGAAATATTTTTTGTTTTCTTATCCGATGGGAATAACTGTTGCACGAAAGATGGAGTTCTTAATATAATGATAATTTGTCTGGAGTTCTTATGTTAACTGTTACAGAATTACTGGAAAACGTAAAGAGTTTCGTCGGAGAACGTTTTTATATGCTGAAGAAACACTCGTGGAAAATGGCAATTTTCATCTTCAAAAAGAGAGTTTGTAATGTAAAATTAAACTTTGATAATAACGCTTGCCTTTACATTTTATTATGTATCAGAAAAAGCTTTTTAGTCCATTCTTCACCGCCGCTTGCTGAAGATCTGGTAGTTTCGAGTAAAAATCCCAAATTATTTGCACGTTCATACACATTTATCTGTCTATTTGTAATCTTCGTTGCCATATTTAATTACCTAATGATAATGTAAATTTGAAAACGTAAAGCCCCCACTACCAAATTTATACCCGATTTTCCAATTGACATAGAGTTCTTGTGATGCCTTTGAATATGTCCTAGAGTTCTTATGATAACTTTTGGTACTGCCGTTCTGCTACTTGCGCTAAGTTACGGCACGTCTTAGCGTATTTCATTATTCAATAAGTGAGTAAACCATTATGTAACGTAATGCGCTCATCCTTAGGACAAAACTGGTTATATAATGTTAGTTTTGAGCGTATTTAGTTTAACAGATTTTTTTTTCAAATAAAATGTATGCGATTCATATTGACATTAAAACCCCGAACGAATGCACTTAATTCGTTTTGTTCTTGAAATGTAAACGATAAATTTATTGCAATTACATTGTCCTTGTGAAGATAGGAATGCATAGGCATTATTTCTTCGAATAATAAACAAGCATATCTGTATTATGATGACAACGTTATGTTAGTATGCGGTAGGTTGGTGTGTAAATAAAACAATGCATCAATATTTAAAAGCTTATACTTTTTCTCAGTTACACATGTGTTAAGCAACCGCCTTTCTTAAGCAGACAATAATTTCAATGGTATGTATTGAAACAATGGTTTAAGTGTAAAACCAATTATACATAGCTTGATTTTCTTTGATTCCAGCAAGTACAAGTTAAATGAAAAGAATAAACAAATTATTGACACTTGCAACCTAACACGGCCTTGACATAAACCAAACAAGACATAAACCAAACAATCACAAAGGTTAATTGTGTAAAACCCGAAGGGAAGTATAATATTTTGCCGCTAGAGACTCGATTTATGATGCCATTGACTAAAATCAATAATATTGTCTGTAGAAAGATGTTATTTAATTTCCCATGACAGTCAAGACAAATAATGACATTTGCTTTTTTATATGATTCTACAAGTCGGTTAATTGATGTTTTATTGTACGATGCATTTCCTTAATTATCCTTGCTGCAGTATTGTTCTATATTTCATAAAAAAGTCATTAGGGATTCACTGTTTGTTTTCATGTAGCGTCATTATAATGTTACTTAATGAATGTTTATCTTCTTTCATACCACATCCTTGAATAAAACATACTAATGACAAAGTGCCTTGAAATAACTTAAACATCCTTGACATTCAAGTTAAAGTTAACGGGAGTGATTCCATTTAGGGTTGTTTCTTTTTGTGCGTGTGGATGTGTTTGTTTTTATTTTGTTTTTTAATTGATTGAAACATGATCTTATGTTATGAAAACATGTTATATTTCTAAAAAACATACCTGATATTGGTAGGTAAATCAGTGCTTCTAAACCGTAAGCAAACATAATTAAACCAACATGTTCTGTAATTGTTTCCGATCCGAACAGACCCGGTTCAAGAACCCTTCGGAGTAAGTTTGAACCACCTAGTTTTAAAATTGCTCGACTGTATATATACCGTTAAATAGCGGGCAAGTTGTGGTAAAATGACGAAGTTTTAATTATTCTTTACGGATCATATGCATTATTATGAAATTTATTGCTTGTTTAATAGTTTTTCCTAATTTGTAAAATGTCGGACGAATATTATCTGAGACACAATTATTACAAACATACAATTAATCGACTGTATTATAACGCTATAAGTAAACTAAAATAATGTTCCGAAAAATATGTTTATAAACAGTACACTCAGTTTCTGCTGTATTTATGTATTGTATAATACAATAAAATTCACATTTATAAGTATAAGTCAGAATATTTATCGCAGCAGGCCTCCAAAAAATCACAAAAGCTACCGTTTTACTTATATTAACAAATTCCTCTACAAAACAAACAGTATATATTTGAAAGAAATCGAAATGGCACTTCAAATGTTTATATTGTAACATTATTGCTGTTCGTTTTTCCGCCGCCAGCCGTAAAACCTTCTTTTATTATACTACGGAATTCTTTCATACGGGTTTTTTCTTCTGGTACCACGTGACTAGATCAGTATTTGCCGTTTACTTGATTATTTTTTCATTTTAACATATTGAGGCCAGTGGCTTTTAAATCATATCTCATCCTTCTTTCTCAAATGTTTTAATGACGTACCTTCAATCCCGTAGAAAACAGCAAAAATGAGAAATGAAGGTACAGGTCCGGATAAAAAACGTGACACATTGTCTTATTTTAACAAACATATGTGCCGAGTTATTTCATATTCCTTTGATGAATGGTGTGGTTATCGACCGAAACGAAAGTGTGGTGGACGGAAAGACGGACGAACGAAAAGACGGAGCCCATTTCTATACCCCCCCTATTTACCCCGAACAGTCATCTCAATTCCTCCCCGACTGCCGCCATATCAGTTGAACATATACTATTGCTATATATACCTTTAACCACGGATCAGTTAAACTTATATGTGAAATAACAAATCAGTAAGTTTAGTTTATTCAAGTCCCACTAGCATCACAATATACATAATTATACTGTATATTTTGTAAAATGTACTACATTTTATACTATGCAAATCCCAATTCATTTTCAGCACTCAGCAAAATGTGAGCTCTATTACTCTAAGTTCTAAAATCTCGGTTCCAAATGTAAGGAAATTGTATACTATTGAAGGAAATAATGTTTTCAGTGCAATGCTTTCAAGTAGTAAGTAAATATGTAATCACGAAATATCTTAAAGTGATGAACAAACAGAGATACGGCAGCCGGGATTTGTTAGAATAAACTATTTCTTCATTTGACATATGTTCACAGTTGTCCGTTTCTCCTTGTCACGAAAACAATTCGATTGATTTTTAAAAATAAGATTGTCAAACTTTTACTCGACTGTTCTTGAGTTGAAACTGTTTTGAACCGCTGGTATCAGAAACATGAATGTTCCACTGGCTATCAGCTCGGCACCAGCTATAATGAAGGGCAGACGATAACTTCCGGTGACATCATACATCGCACCTTCAACGAAATTACAATATACTGTACGCAATTTTAAATTTCATTATGATTATGTCAATAAATTGCAAATGTATTTATTAATTTATTATTAAATTATTATTCTCTTAGCCATAGTGTTCCCATCTGGCTGTTTATAACTTGATGAAAATGTATAAGTGATATATATATATATATATATATATATATATATATATATATATATATATATATATATATATATATATATATATATATATATATATATATATATATATATATATATATATATATATATATATATCTTTGCGCTACATATGATTTGGTTGAAACACAATTATTCAATGACTAAGATCCATGTCCTATCAAAAGTGTAATAATTGTCATTAAAAATCTATTATTGCAGATATGTCCATTCAATAAAATGTCAAAACAAAGACGTATATAAAAGAATTGATTAAATAGAACGAGTATCTATAAACACAAGATTATTAATCAAATTAAACTATCTGCTTCATAGAATCAGGTTTAAAAATCAAAACAGATAATGATGAAAAGTATGCTTTTGTCAATGTTTCCTTTTTTACACTGTATATTGTTGTTGTCAGTTTAATAACCATTCACAAAAATGTTTACCAGATATAGGTAGGCTAATCATCGCTGCTAAACCACTGCTGAACATAGTAATGCCCAGATGTTCAGCTATTTCTTCCGACCCAAACAAGTCCGGTATCAGCACACCTCGTAGAGAATTTGAACTACCTAGTTTTAAAAGCGTTTGAATTAAGTAAAGTCCAGGTGGGTACTATAAAGTGTAAAGGGAGCAATCATGTAGTACTCTTTCAATTTCAGGTTGAACTACATAGTTTCAATACAAATAAAATTTGCATTAATTACATTAACTTTTTAAATTATAAAACTTAGTTCCAAGGAAATATGTATGACCAAGGTTTTAAAGTTATAAATGCACAACCAAGGGTACTAAGGTTATAAACTAATTATTTCAATTCAGATGTCTTTTATCATAATTCAGGTTTCTTTTACACTCACAAAATGTATAAATACATGAAAAGCAATTGTTCGATAAGCTAGCGCATTTGTGTATTTGTTATCGTTCAATCGTTAAAAAGAAAAAGATTTATAAGACTTCCATTCTTATCCTTTCTTGTAGCAGTATTCAAAATGCTTTGTTTATATTGTATATTGTAAGATGACTGTAAAGATATTCTGAAATATAAAATATGCTTAGTCTTAGATTATATCCAGTTTGGTCCATCAATGTCATCATGGAAATGGTATGATTATTCGAATTAGTGTTAATGAAGTGTTTTTTTTTTGTTTTTTTTTTGAACGCCACCTTTTATTGTTGATCTTGTTTACCATATTTAATGGCTATAATGCTGATGTTAGCCTACCTGAGAAGATTCCATAGAAAACAGCAAAAGCGAGGAATGTAGGAAAACTGTAGCAAAACGGACCAAAAATCACCACGCATCCGCTAAGCACTATCAAACTGTTACAAAACTTGACACGATTTATAACGGGTATGTCAGCAATTATCCCAACACCTAGACGACAGATTGTACTCACAATGCCTGAAAGACATAATTTTATAATTTTGGTAAATAAATAAAATCAATATTGCTAGATTAGTTCTTACTTCAAAGGCAAAACCATTACTTGAACATGAACGATTAAACCCATATTCAATTCATGTGAGACGTATTTTAATAAAAGTTAGTTTACCTATGAGAAAAATTGTCCAGACAGCCTGCTGTATTTTGAAGCCTTTCTGATGCATCATATCGGGTATAAATGTAATAGGGATATTTAGAGATAAATCTAACAGAAAATTTCCGAAAAGAAATGTTATAAAACCAGGATTTTGAAATGGCTTTAAATTAATCCATGGTTTGCTCGTCCTTCTGGAAGTGTCTTGTGCAACAAGAGTATGATTGTTATCGGACTCGTCGAATGAACTTGTTGGTGAAGTCAAATGAGAAACTATTGACTTTTTAGGTTCATATTTTTCTCTGTTTTCATTTTGTTCTTGACATAATACAAATGCTTCATCACAATCTTTAGCATCAACAACACAATTGTTAGCCTCCTCTTCATACTGAATATTGGAGTTATTTCTAGTATCACAAGACTGATGATGTTTTGAGAGTAGATCTTGAAACATATTTGTACTATCTTTTTCTGACCGAAGCTGTCCTGGAGTACTATCACTATTAAAGATATGTTTATTGACATTCTGCTGCCCATGATTAATTAATTCCTTGTCTTCTCCGTCTTTCTTGTCAGCATTACTGATGATAGTTTTACTTGATGAATTATTCAGCTGTTTGAACACCATTGCACAAACAATACCATTAAGAATAATTCCAGCTTCTATAAACATGGTTCCCCGCCATGTGTATGCGTCAATAAGAATCTACAAATGGATATATTTATGCCGTCGTTTAAAATATTTTTTGTTTAATTTTTGTTTAATAGTCAATTTATGGTATATAGTAAATACAACTTAACAAATAAACAATGACTTTAAAGATTAAAATAGACATGTCTTATAATACTTTATACATATCATGAACCAGAACAAGCAGCGCTTTTAATGCCTAGGTCACAAATAAAACGGGCGCCGTCCGATTAAACGATTTTTATAAAATCGGCAGATTTTTTGTTGTCGTGGACGCCGGGCGATTTTTTAATCTGATTACATTCGCGTGGTCATGAATGAAACAGTCGTCGGGCGATTTTTGCCGAGTAGATTTTACAGAAAAGAATAGAACGGATCAGGCGGTCGCCGCCCGATGTCCGTACGGACGCCTGTGCGATTTAAAAGTGAATCGGACGGTTGCCGCGCGGGCGCCGGGCGACAAATGACTTTTACATTTAATGACCATCCTAGATAAATCAGCTAAGTTGTAATTATGCCAGCAAAGAAGTCAGCTGCCAAAAAGCCAAGGGGAAAGGCCAAGGAATTGGTACGTGTTGTTGACAACGAGTCACCAACGACCAGTATCGAGGCCGTAGAAGGCGAAAAAATCAATCAGACATTCGCATGGACATTGAAGAAAAAATCATGTTTACTAGTATTCAAAAGAAATTCACAATATATTTTGAAGGCAATAACAACTTCTTCAAGCTGAAATTACAACAAACACAAGCAGCCCGGTCGCCGGATGAACAAAACGATGACCGCCCGGTGCCTGTACATGAATCGTCCGGGTACTGGGCAATAATCGTTTGACTACTTGTCTCTATTCAGGCACCGTGCGGGGCCCGGCCGATGTCCGCCCGGACGCCTTTTAAATTGGACGCTGTTTTAGTAGAACAAAAAATCGCCCGATCAAAAAAATCATCGCCCGGTCGCCGCCCGGCGACCGAAAAGATGTCCGCTCGATGATATTTATACTCAGTGACCCCAAAAATTATCGTCCGGCCGCCGTTAGCTTTTAAGTATTACTTAAAACTCGAAGGCGCCCGCCCGATGAGCAAAATTTTCAGCTGCTGCCGTCCGATAGTCACTGCCGCCGGACGGACGCCGGCCGATATTGCGATTTTTTGGAGAAACAGACGCCGCCCGGCGGCATTTTCTTATTTGTGACCTAGGCTTAAGCAAGTTAATGTTCTTAATAGCGATCGTTTGCTACATATTCATGACGTTTCCTCTCATTATTAGACATGGGGTAATGTTGTGGTAAGCAATACAACTTGTATACTATCAATATAACATCCATTCTAACTTATTTATGAATTATTGAATTGGTCACTTTATTGATACTTATACAAAAATATCGGCTGAAAGTGGCGCAAATAGAGATCATTCTTATAATCTGCCAATTCAAGATTGGTTAGAAATTTTATTTCTATCATATAACTTGATATGTTTTAAATTGATTATTTTTATTTTATTTCCTTTTGCTTTTTATATCTACTCACCTTGCTTAAAGGGTTAAATATCAGAGCTCCTATACCCGTTCCCATATTTGCAAAGCCTGTAGCAAACGCTAAACGTGAATCAAAATACTCCACCAACATGACTAAACTTGGTAAATTCATCATTCCAAATCCAATTCCTTCAATGAAATATATTTTGTATTTTGTAATTTTCTTAAAAATAAAAATCATGTAAGGGCCATAACGCTTAAAAAAACATTGAATCAAAAAATGCTGACAATATATATAACTGGACTTGGTACTTATCATGCTTGTAAAGTTTGGATGAAATTGCAAGTAGACGACGGAGAAGAGATTCCTATATTGTAGAGGCAAATATGCGAAAATGTGCAGACTTGGCAAAGTTGTAAAAAGTTAACACAACACATTTAATGTATTATCTTTTCGCATAATGTTGGCGTTCTTTCTTTTGTTTTGCTTGAAAAGTAGAAAAACCCAAAGATATTACATAATCAAACTTTATCAGACCTCTTTTTTAATTTATCCGAACATGTTATAATATAGACTAATTACTAAATGCCGTAAATAAGCCACAGTATTTGCTACTCAAAGCTAACATATCCGATCACTATCCATCTGTTTTAATAATTAGCAACAAACTATGGAGGTTGATGTGTGCCATGTCGGATTTTGACTCTGCGGAGTGACTGACAAAAACACACTCGAAAATACGAAAAGGTTCACAGTTTGACGAGGGGCAAACACACACGAAAATACGAAAAGGTCCACAGTTTAACGAGGGGGACAAAGGCTTAAACATGAAAACAGTCAACATTTTGTCGTATTTTCGCTGCTACTGAACACGATTATACGACAAAGTGGTATTTTGTCGTATTATGGCGTTAACACCTGGCGCTCGACAAAGCGAAAATATAGAGAACCCGCACTTCTATCAAACATCGTGCTCAGTTTTTTAATTTGCTAAATGCAGTAATGTAATTTATGTCACGGAATCGCGGAACAACACAAACACCATCTGCAGGAGCACGGCAAGCTGCCTTTATGATAAATATGTTAAATGTTTTAATTTCTTTATAAAGATAACTTTGTATGGTCTACTATTGTAAATAAACAATTTACCTGCGCAGAAACCGAAAGCAATGTATAATTCATACACAGATGTTACAAATGCGCTAGCTATGAATCCACCACAGCTGACAATAGTTCCAAGGAAAACAGTAGACTTGCATCCGATTTTGTTAACCATGGTTGCAATTATAGGCCCTTCAAATAAAAAAAATCAATAAATAATTGTGTCTGTGTCTCTCACCACCATGTTCTTTAATATATACTCTTTTATTATACTTTTTGCATCAAATTTGACGTTCGCTTGTGGCAGTTTTCAGTCGTCATTGTAATTAATTAAAGTTTATTAAACATAATATTTTTATATATGTATAAGATTGATAAAGAAAATTTAAAGAACGTCCCCCAGAATAACACAATTGAAATTGTTGCAGGTTCGGTTTAAATTACAGTTAAAAATTACAGTTTAAATTATCGATGATTTCCTTATTAATGACACTCCATCCGTGTATATTTTCTTCTTTTTTATCGTGTGTCCTTTTTTCATGGAATGGCACTAACGGTTAATAACAGCCACATGAATATATCTGCGGATGTTTCAAATTTCATTTAACTTTTATTCACTTCATTTTCATGTTTAAAGTTGCCCGCCTCCAGATGAGTATTTCGATAAAATCAAACCTAAGAAATATGTACTTAGATTTTAGGAAAAATATAAAGATTCACATTTCTAGTAATAATTTACATGTTATATGCGATTAATGACCCCTTTTTCAGTATCTATAACTATATTTCTACTGCGTTTCTAACAAACTTAGGATTATTGTTGCATATTTTTATTATTTTATTGTAATTGTTAGTGTCATTATTTACGTGTAGATTGCATTCTTTTGGTAACTTGACAATATTATACTGTTCAATACATGTTCAAATTTTCACGAAAATTAGCTTGAATCTGGAGGGGTGCTACTTTAAAAGTTAAATACTGCTCCAGCCGGTGCTGCTATGAAGTATGGACGGTAACTTACAATTATAAACTACCGTCCATGAACAAGCTCAATCAAACCGAGCCGGCAGCATTTTTAATTTTGCAATGTTAGGCTTTCTTTAGGAAAAATATGATAAACGAGGTCAACAAGGAAAGGCAATAAACGCAATGAAATAATGTTTTTCTCTATTTCTTTAATTATTTTCTTCCTTATCATGTCAGTGTTAATTTATACAGTAAACAATGTCATAAAAATAAATATACCTGAAAGAAGCATCACTCCAATTTGTATTGACATTACCCATGATGTTTTACTTTTGTTTTCTCCAAAACTTTCCATCAATTCAATAAACATAATTCCAAAAGAGTATTTAATTCCGTCGATTAAAACATGTATAACAAATGATGAAAATACAACAACCCAACCCCACCCACCATCAGGTTTCATTTTCTACTTAAATATCATTTGTGCAGACAGCGAAACGAGTATTATCAGTGTAATCTATCTTAAGTTCAAGTTTATGTCAAATTTGTAAGATAAAGAATGTATTAATAACAATAAATGCACGAGTGTTTAATTTTACATACTAAAGCTATATTGCTAAACTTTAAAGTTGTATTTAGTTATGCCCTTAAAGTAAACTTACTAACATTATATTTTAATCAGATATTACAATTAATATTAAATGTCTAATTCTGCTTCAGCCGGTGCTGGGGAACGTGAACGGTGGCCACTACCGTTCATGAACATGCTCAATGAAAACAAGCCTGCATCATTTTCACTTTCGTCGTGTTAGGCTCTCTTTATGGGTTCTCATTTCCACTGTTGTATTGTAACATCAGTGTTATTTCTGCCGTGTGGCGACTATAAGAAGTCTGTCCGTACATTTAATCAAAAATGTTATATTTTCGATCCTTGAAGATTGTTCAGTATGACATCATAATTGTGAGTGCATGTTTTTGGTACTCTATTATATGAATTATATATATTTTGGTACGTGATTTCCATTGGTGTTTTATTTGGTGTTTATTTAGTTTCACCCATTGTTGTTCTCGATTAGTGCACACGCTTATCTTACTTGGGCATCATATACCGCTTTCATGGAGTGGTACATATGTGTCACGTTGAAGGTTTCATGATACTCGCTATATGGATACGTATGCGGATGTTTCAAAATTCTACCAGTTCATGTTCAATGTTGACCTGCGTAAGCCGGTGATAGGGGGTGTTTACAGAGGCTTGCAATTACCACTACCGTCCATGATCATGCTTCATCAAATAGAGAAAAATGGAACCCTAAAAGAAATCCCAAACGACAAAATTGAAAAAGTTGAAGGCTCGGTTCGATTGAGCCTGTTGATTGACAATACTTGAAAATACAAGCTAACGTCTACGCACAGACGTAAGCAGAATTCAACATATTTTACAAAGAATAGTAAAAAATCTGGAAACAAAGTGATCCCTTGGAAGCATTAATCACAACAAAATTACGAGATTAAAATAAGATACTCAAATAGAAAAAAAAATCCTCGAGGAGATAGACGAAATAAAAATTCCTACAGAAAGTTCTTAACGACAAAATTAAAAATATTGCAGACTCGCTTTGATCTAGCTTGTTCATGGTCGGTAAAGTTATAATATGAAAGCAAGACGATTTTCACAAGAGCAAAGAAGCAATTATTGCACTTTTGTCGAAATGCGTGCATTATATTTAAATCTTAAATGTGCTTTAATTTCACAAACTCAGAACAAATAGCGTTGTACATTATTAAACCTCTGGTGATTGTATTTGTTATGTATCTGTCGCAAAGAAAGCAATAATTGCTAGAATATTTTATTTTGTTAATGGGACAAAAACACGTATATAGTAAATGCTTTAAAATCACAAATACATAACAAATATCAATCAAGGTTCCATAATTAATAACCTGGTTCTGGTTTTTGTATTTGTCATGTATTTGTCGCAACGACACAATAAGATAGCAAAGAGAATAATATTTTATTTCTTCTCTAAACGGTTGATTGCATTGTTCACTTTTTGATTTGATTACGTACAAAAAGGCGTCGTATGTAAAATGCAATTTTGTTATCATAGCATGTACCGTTCTTAAACTTCCTCTTTTATTTTCCCGCAATTTTACTCGACGTGCTAGTAATGCTATTGCCTTTGATAAAATTTGCTGTTTACTTTAATAAAAACACATTTATCCGAACAAAGCTTCAAATGTTAAAGCATGTTATATTTATATATTGCTTTTACAGTGTAACAGTATAATGGTTCTCTTGCCAGGAATTGTAATTAACGTTTAACTGTGATTCTATAAAAAGGTTATGTGAAGAAGCATGTCACGTTGTTAAAGCGTGTGAAACTTCAGCAAAACGTTATTATATTTTTATTCGCTTTAACTATTTATCTGTAATCAATATTAAAGACTTGTACTGACTTAATCAAAACGATTCTAAAATTGTCATGTAATTTTGCTGTGTTAAATGCTTCCTAGGGATTTTTTTCCAAGAAATAAAGTAACTTGAGAGGCAGCAGAGGACGATTCTCTGTAAGATTGTGTAATCTTACAATTAATTTTATATAAAGTACATTAAACACTACAACAAAGTAGTTCAAGCATACATGTATAATCACACTCGTTTACGATTGCAAATGAAAGGAAAAAAAATTATAGTTAATTATGAGACTGGCAAAAACAAACAACCATACATGCTTTATAGTAACATAATGAATCCCTTATTTTTTACAAATTTCTCCTGTATATGTCTTTTATCAAAGTAAAATATGAAATAGTTCTTTACACAAACAGAGCTGAGCTTCATGATACTTACCTGTATTAAAATACATTGTACTTAAGTTAGAAAACAAACGGATGAATCTTTATCTTAAAAAGTGTCATTTTTGTTCATCATCATTTGGAATTTATGTCCAGTTTCGTGTAAGTTTAGCTTTTATTGTTTACTGTTTATTGTTTAAACGAGTATTTTACTACGAACGTGCATAATAAACAACATGCAGTATTAAACTCACTAACGTCATTTCTCAGTTAAATTGTTAACATAGGACGTTAAACTTAAAAACAAGCAAGTTTCAACTAATTATATCGAGTTAGGATAGGCTAACAGTCAAGTAACTTACAAACACACTAATGATGTTAATCTACATTTGGCGCAATGAGAATTTTCTCTGAAAGGTTATACCACAATTCATAATAGAGATTCTGGAAAGACAGTTTCGAAAACCATCTTTGGTGTACTAAAACACATGAATATAGTAAAAGCATGGCTGTTAGCTGTTTTTACTATAATGCAACTATTTAACTAAAAATATGGCTTTATAATGTCACATTGAATGTTCTATGATCACTGCCGTATGAACACATCTGCAGAATGATGTTTTTAAATTCAAAATTTTACAATTACATGTTGAAATCTTAATTACTGCTTAAGCCTGTGCTATGGTGTGGACAGTAGCTTGCAGACATCCTCAATCAAACCGAGCATGCAACAATTTCAATTTTGCCGTTTTGAACTTTCTTTGGGGATTCTTTTTCTCTCTATTTTGCTGATATCTTACTAATTAGTGCCTTACACTGCCAATGTTTATCCTATATATAAATGTAAATTATCTACAAGTAAATATTAATAATGTCCATATTTATGACATAGAATCAGAAATAAAATACTTTGAATTCAAGAATACCTTATACCAGATCGATTTCGAAATATATCCACGTTATCTTGATTACAGCACCACTCCCGCTACTTAAACAATTGTGGTGTACTGATAAACGCTTCTTTTGAAACTTTCCCGCGGCATGTTATTTCACGTTTTGCGATAAATACAATATTACATTTATATAATTCTTGTTCCATTTGATCGATATCTAGTAATTAAAGCAACTCAGAGTTAAAAGATAATAAGTGTTAAACATACAACAACACGGGGACGTTTGTCTGCGAAAGTTTCGTCACATCGTAAGGCTTGCTACGGTTTAAATTTCAGTTTTGCGTGGTTACATTACCATATGGTTAATTGTTGTTGTTTTTACAAATGAACCACACTATATACCACGGTAAGTAACTTACCGCGGTATACTTTAATAATCGTTTTATCTAATGTTGTAAGAACTTGTTGCCAACCCCGTTTGCAATTTGTTATATACTCATATTTTGTATAATATGTCTGTAAACATGTATTAAATGCAATAAAATATGTTTAAACTTATCGTTTACACAAATGACTGCAGCAACAATTCGCCTGTATCCAAACATGTTTATTTGTAAACACTTTCGTTTCTTCCATATATCGTTAGTGGTACGACTGATAAAGATATCATTACATTAATATATATTATTTTTCATCTGGTTCAATGCTTCACGGGCAAATCTAATTAGGTCTATATCGTTTTTGTTATTGCCTTCATTGTGGCACCTAAGTTTTGTTTTGTATTCCCAAGTATTGAGATGTTGACATTTTCATTTGTATAATAAGGTTAAAAGTGTCTAGGAGAAAGTAATCGATTGAATTACATTTGAAGAGGTGAAGAAAAACACAAAGTGAATAATATTCTTTGTAAAAGGCTTGACTTGCATTCTTTGCTATTTATTTCGTTTAAGAAAAATGTATTAGAAAAATGCTGCAATTTGCGTTTTCTATACATGAAAGAGTAACCGAAAACCATGCATGAAAACAGCCATTTTAACGACATATTTAAAGATCCTGTAACTCAATTTTGTATGGCTTTATATCATAAATGTGATGCTCAAATGAAGATTTATCAATATTGTAAGTTCCAAAAAGCATTATTTGTAAAGATAAAACCGAATTTACATTTTCATGTTAATAAAGGGAGATAATTAAAAAATTATTTTCTATAAAGTCTAAGTCAATATTTTCAGTAAGATATAAAACATTAACATAGAACCATCGACAAGAAGGCTAATAGGGAACCAAAATCACCCTTTTATGCTATGCAATTACTTTTGTCCGATATGCGTGTCAACTATGTCAAACATTACTTGATTGTAAATCGTTTAACTGATTGTAAAAGTTCTAGAAACCTTTCTGTGAGGGATCATCCGCAAGATTTTTTTCCAGTTGGAGTCAAAAGCAAATAGTCGTCAAAAAGTCTGCGAGTTTTAACATACATATATCTCTCATTTCAATTCTTTTTATAAGCTCAGCTGCGGTCTTCTCTCTTCAGGATACGTTTATCATTTGTTTCGTTTATCTAGGTGTAAGAAGTTTTTACTAAAGTCTTGTGAAAGATTATTTTATTCAATACATTTTATGTATATCGATTATAATCCTATAACAAGACGAATTGTCCACAAAATAAATCTAATTTTATCATTTACGGTAAAATACAATATTCGGCAGCAATAAATTTTCACAATATTGATTACAGGTACGTAAGTACTACACGAACTGCAGGAGGATATGTCTCATTTATCAAAATAGAAACAGAG